ATTCTTGCTACCCTATGCCTACTTCTTGCTATTCTATGCCTGTAGACTGCCCTATTCGGTACTCTGCACTAAAAGGAGCAGTGATGCTCTTGAGTTACATGCCCAGCTGCAAGATAGCCCCCAAAAGGTTCCCAGAGAAAGGATCATCTCTGTTATTGAAGGCAAGACACCTACAAAGAACCTCTGCAGCTTGGATTATAGGATCAGCTGCCCTGTGCTACAGACCCATCTGCCTCCAGAGGGTAAAGAAGTATCCAGCTAAGTACATGGGCCAGGCTTATGTGTGTGAGAGGTACTAATCCAAATTCTGGTCTCAGTTCTGTGGTGCTAATCTGGAGTCAATGCCTTGATGGATTAAAACTGGATTGGAGCCTGCATTGGAGCTTGGCTGATTGCAAAAGATTGTGGAAAGTCTCCCAGGATGCAGTCTTGATTCTCCCTGGCTGTAAATGCAGCTTGGGGGCAGTCTGGCACTGGTGTAGGGAGGCACAAAGGAAAATAGAAGGGGGTGGTCTCAGGGTGGGCCCTAGCACACTGCGTCAGGGCTCTGACCATGTCAGGAGTTTCATATTAGGAATAGGGGAGATGGATGGAAGTGCCTAGAGCAGGGGTCCTGCTCTCTCCATATTGGAAGGAGGATTCTGGCTAGGTCTCAGCTAGATTGGAGGGTGGATCCCAGCGAGGAAAAGATGGGCAACCACAGGTTTAATAATCCTAGCCAATATCATGGCCCCTGGTACACGCAGATGCATACACAGTCAGTCTCTGCCTTAAACAGATTACAAGGCAAGGTGGACCCTGTGCCAGACCCTATGTGACCCTTCCACTGTGTGGCTTAGTGAGTACTGAAGTCCTCCCTTCTCATGGGCCAGTGACTAGCGGGGGTGGCTGGCAAGTGTCAACCTCCACTGTCCGAGTGCAAGGTGTGTTAGCCTGTACTCCCATACTGGAGCTGTCGTGTCACAGAGCCAATTACTTTATCTTTGCATTTGATTGTTCGAGGCAGAGCTGGACTTTTCAAGACTAGAAATCTGGAAGAGGGGTTGAGGGAAGTGTTAGTTGAAGCTGCCCTGGAACAAAAATGGTCTGTTCTCTTCTTGTTGAAACAAGACCTAGAAAACTCCTTTTGCTATGGGTGAAACAAAATGCTTTCTCTCAATTGACACAACAGGGTTGGGGGTTAACCTTTTTATTTTCTTGATTACACTGGAGAAAATTTGGTCTTGAAAATGCCATTGCAAAACAAGGAGTAGAGTTGCATCACGTGTCACAAAGAATCAAACTGAGTCAAATGCTGAAATAAAAGGTCATGCCCTTTCTCCCCCTTAGTTATTTCATGGTCAAAGCTAGTCACTAAATTCAGCCTGAGGCTTAAGGAGGTGAAGTGAGGCTGCGCAGTAGGCCCAGAAGTAAAACCAAGTTCTTTTGACTCACAGCCCAGTAGCTGTAGACTATATTGCCTTCCCGTGGCTTTGCCTCTCTAGTCCTGGGAGCTGTCTCACCCAGTACCGTGTTTCTTCTTCCTGTTCCTGCAGCCAATCCACACTGCCTGCTGCACCTACTCCTCATGCTCTGTCCAAGGGGCTGCTTATATTGCAGCCTGGTGCAGAGATACTGGAGCTACCGTCAAGCAAGCCAGCTTGGATGCTAGTAGTAGTCTAGTTACAGCAGCCCAGAGCTTTGCCTGGGCTAAGTTACCCTGCTTCTGACTGTGTATGTGACAGCAGTTCACTAGTCATCACCACCAATCGTCAAACTCAGCCGACATTGTCACCTTCAAGCAGGCAAGAACAGTGAAAGTTCTGCCTATGAAGGAGCTGCAGGATTGGTCCTTTGAGACAGTAATCTGTAGCTTGACCCTGTGAGTCCCAGGTGAGTGTAGCATACAGGAGGCCAGCCGTCCAGTCCCAATGTGGCTGGTAGGCTGAGGCAAGCCATTTTCCCCTTTTGTGCCTCAGGTTCTCCATCGATTATGAGGCTTATAACACTTTGCAACTCAGAAAAGACCTTTGAGATCAGCTGTTGAGACGTGAGCTGAGGGATGGGCTTTGTTATGCTCATGGAGGAAAGATGGACTGATGTTTGGAAGGGAGCTATATATAGAGGAATTCTGTATCTGGTAACAAAGAGACTGAGGCTGCCTCTGACCTCAGAAAAGTCACTTGTATGTGCCTCAGTTTCCCTGGCAGTGCAATAGGGAGTGACAAGCTGTGCTGGAAGTTGCTGAAGGGGAAAATAGCTCATGTATGTGAAGCATTTTGAGTACTGCAGTGCGGGAGACACTGTTCAAAGGCACTGCTTTACTGGGATGCAGCAGTGATAGTTGCACCTATGGGGCTCTTTGCTTTTCTCAAGCCCCAGCGGGCTAACGGACAGTGGGAAGGCAGGCCAGGAGAGTCTTAATGGGATTGAAAAGGTGGTTTTGTTATAGAAGAACAAAGTCAGGAATGGGGTTTAGAGCAGGCTGGGATGTGGATAATATTAGCCTAACACCACTGGGCTGGAAGCAGGAGTTGGGTGGGAAGTCTCAGGGAAATCTTTGGGCTTTATAGACTGTGGTCCTGTGAAGACATGCTTCCTTCTGAATTAGTGCCTCCTCCCAGGGCCAGAGATTGATGTGCTGCTGGAGGGGCTGTTTTGGGGATGAGGCATAATAAGCCCTGGACACTTTTTGCAGGGCTAGGGGCTCACTCCAGTGTGTTGCCCATTTTCCACTTGGACCTGGCTGCCATCAATTTCTTTCTCACACCAGCTGCTGCAGCATCACTCTTGCTCTACCACTGTGCAGTCTGGGATGGCAACCTGTCTACATGAGGAGTGTTTTGCACCAGAACAGCTGCACTGATGAAACCAAAGCAGCAAGAGCCTCAGCACCAGTGGGCTGCATTGATGTGAAGTGGGCTCTGTGGTCCCTCTGTGTAGAGAGGACCTGACTGGTGCCCTTCTGGCTTCCTCATCAAAGGAAGCTGCAGTCTGGTGATGGTTCCCTTTATATGTGAAAGCAGAACCACGTATGTGGTGCAAACTAAAGGGATCCCAGAGCCTGAGTCAGTGGAGGTCTGTACCAGTTGAGTGTCCAGCTGAGGCTTACTCCACCCTTGTTCTACATTCCTCCAGGCCCCATGTAGGAGAAAATAAGCTTCAGTGGTTGTGAAGCACCACAGCTCCACTGATGACCAGGTTTTCTACACTGTTCACAGGGGTGTTAAGGCAGCTCAGATGTTCTGCTGTGGCTCCAGAAGACTGTAGGTGGGCACCTGGCCATTGAAGCCGGGGCATCAAAGGCAGATGGACGCACTGGAGCACCAAGGAGTACTGTAGCAATCCTCATGTCTAGCTGCCTTGGACTCCCCAGCCTCAGTGACCAGGTGTCCATTCACAGCTGGACTGACTTGGAGGAAGGGTTCATGAGTATGAGCCCAGAACAAGGCGTTGCACTCCTTCCTTCTGGAGTGAGTGGTGTAAATAAGAGGAGAATTAGTCCCAAGATGTTTGAATACAGCAGATTCAGGCTTTGACTTTGCTAACCCAGCACCCTCTCCCCACAGCCACCTTCAATGGCTGCCTGCGAGGTGTATCATGTCTCTGGAGTGCTCTTGTTTTGTGTGTGCTTGGAAATGACTCTGCTCCTGGGTAGATAATGTGCTTTGCTCCCCTTGCCGATGTGCTTTCTCATCCATCCTTTCCATCGCGGCATTGACCCTGGCTTTGTCTCAGCATAATCAGCAGCATGTCCCTGGCATGAACTGCCTGAATGCCTCCAGCTTTGTTCTTCTTCCACAGGAGGGTGTGAGAGAGAGAGGAGACAGAGACGAGACAGTGAGAGAGGGGAGCCAGAGGGAAGTAGCTGAATGAATGCAGGAGGAAATAGAGAGCAGAAGAGAGTGAGGTGGAGAGGGAGAAGGGAGTGGAGAAGTACAGTAGACTCACAGGGAGAGGGGAAGAAACGTGTGTCCTTCTGTCAGCAAACAGAAGTGTGTCCCGTGCAATACACAGAAGTCTAACCTTTTGTGCTGGGCAGCAGCACCGTGTTAAGGAAGAAGCTGAGATTCTTGATCTTCAAAGTGTGTTATGGAAAGGAACCAAGAAGTGAGGTTCCTGTAGGCTGATGCAGTGACCATGGCATGCCACGCTGGCCTCCCCCACCCTGGGAATTAGGGGCATTGGAGAGTGAGCCTCAGCCCCAGCTCCCTTCGCCACACAGTGGCTGCTGCAGCCCACCAAGAGCTGCTATGCCATGTGCTGCTCCAGTCCCAGAGTCTCCTCCTTTCTGCTTAGCCATTCAGAGTCCTGTAATGCAAATACATTTTTCTTGAAGGTTGGTGCAGGAGAAGCTGCCCAAACACTTGGGGAGCACGGCAGGGTCCCAGCCATTTGCATTAAAGCTTCTCCACCAGCACAGGCCTCACAGGGCTGGAGAATGGGATGTGTTACTCTTGGGCCCAACCACGGCAACAGAAAATGGCCAAAAAGTTTCAAAAACCTAAATGAAAACATTGCTTGGGTTGGGTTCTGGTGTTTGCTGATGGGGAGGCTGGCAAGGAAAGGTGGGTTCTTGTGTTTGCTGGCTTGGCTTACCCACATCCACTACAAAATGAGGCAAAGACCCAGCAAACTCATGTCACTTGTGGCCTCGTGTGAACTTAGCCCATGCAGGGAGGAAATATGATGGTAACCCACAATTTTACAGTGTGGTTCACTGTCTCCTGCTAGTGGCCACAGCATTTAGGGGGTTTGAGTTGCCTGATGAATATGAGAGACAATCTTTCAGTTGAGGCAGTAGAGACTCAGGCTTTCAGATGCAAAAATTTCAGATTCAATCTGGGCAGCTGGTGACTTACCCAGGGATGCAGCTCAGTTATGCTAGTCTGCTTGCCTGCTCTTTACCCTGCCATGGTGATGGTGAGTGGTGACTCCTTTCCCTCTCCAGCAGGAGCAAGGGTAGGAGCAGCTGCCCCCCACCCAGCTCTCTGCTGACTTCTCTCCACCTCCATTCACAGGTGGTGAGCCAGATCGACAAGCTGACCTCTGATTTTGAGTTTGAGCTTGAACCGGATGACTGGACCACAGCAACCGTAAGCAGCACATCCAGCAGCGAGAAAGGGGGCGGCACGTTCGACCTCGCGCAGCTGGATTTCATGACCTCGGACATCCTCTCTGACAGCTGGGAGTTCTGCTCCTTCGTGGAGGTGTCCACCCCCTCGGACTCTGGGGACGGCTCGGAGCAGCAGCAGCAGCAGCAGGGCCGTCAACCTGACTACAGACTCATGAACGGTGGGGTGCTGATCCCCAACGGACCCCGGGTAGAGACACCCGACTCCTCTAGCGAGGAGGCCTTCAGCTCTGTCCCCAACCACAAAACCCACTCCCAGAGGACACCAGGCACAAGGGAGCGCGTCCGCTTCAGTGACAAGGTGCTCTACCATGCCTTGTGCTGTGACGACGATGAGGACGGTGACAGTGAGGAAGGCAACACCGGGCCACCGCCCTCTGAGGACGTTCAGGAGGAACCCAGCGAGGCAGGACACAAGCCACCAGCAGGACCTGCCTCCAAGGTGCCCCCATCATCCCTCCGGCACCCCCCTCATCTCAGCGCTGCGCAGCAACGGAAGCTGACACGGAACAGCAGCACTCAGACAGTGTCAGACAAGAGCACCCAGACGGTGCTGCCATACGTGTCGGCCAAGCAGAAAATCAAAGGCAAAAACTGAGGAGAGGGCACAATCAGAGTGATGGGACCAACTGGAGCAGGGGAACGAGGGGATGGGGTGGGAGGGACAGAAATATATATATATTTAAATAAATCAATACTGATAATAAAAACAACATGAAAAGGTGGAAACTAATAATAATGTCCAACTACCTAACCATCATTTTTTGAGGCTCAGGGAATTTTAAACTGTTTTGCTAAACAAAAGAGTCAGATAAATAAGCCGTACAGAATGACAAAAATAATATAACAGACACACGCACGTGCACATAGAACGAGAGACACCCCCCGTGGAGAAGGCAGGAGGGGAACAGAGCTGGCCAAGCAGCTGATCTCAATTACAAGGCTTTTGGGTGGATCCCACCATCAAAATGGGGTCCCTCCTTCAAGTAAGGGTTGCAGATAAACTGAGCCGGGCAGGGCCGAGAAAACTAGTTGTGGGGTGGAGGGAGCGTCCAAGTGAATTATTAAGACTGAAGGATTGCCGCATAACAGAAAGCTAAATCAACTCCCTTTGCTACTGGGTTGCATCTCAGCATACCAGAGTTTGAGCTAGGTTATGAAATTCAGATCCACCTCTGTTGCTTGATGAAACCTCCCCTCTCCTAATTCTGAAAGAAACCATCCAGTTAGAAACTTGCTTATTCATAAGACTGCAATATTTTATTACGTTACATTTTTACGAACAAATCCGTTTCAGAATGGCTGCACCTCAGACCAAGTCAGTTTTCGTAGCCAGTCAAAACGTTTTTTGTCTTCCAACCCAGGTCAGTGAGCAATTTCTTTTCATTCAATAAATGGTTTTCATGCCAGCCAGATTTTGCGGGTCATTTGGTCAAATGAAAATCAAGTCCTGGTGGGGGGTTGGGAAAGGAGAAAGGGAGAATTAAATATTAGGGGGGGGAAATGATTCCCAGGTAATTCTGATTGGACTTTGATTCTCATTGCTTGATTCTCTTCTCACTTTGTACCAGTTTCAGAATCACAGAAGAATAAGAGTGGAAAGGCCCTCAGGAGGTCGCATCTAGTCCAGCTCCCTGCTCAAGGCAGGATCATCCCTGTCTAAACCATTCTAGGCAAGTGCCTGTCTAACTTGATCCTGATCTTAAAAACTCCAAATGACAAAGACGCTACAAACTCTCAAGTTAACTGGTTCCAGTACTTAACCATCTTCGTAATTAAAGAGTTTTTTTTCTAACATCCAACCTAAATTTCCCTTGTTGCAATTTAAAACAGTTACTTTTTGTCTTGTATCTTCCAGACATGGAGAATAGTCTATCCCCAGCATCTTTATAATCATCCTTCTTGTATTTGAAGACTGTTATCAAATCCCCCTTGGTTTTCTCTTCTTCAGGGTAAATAATCTCAGTTCTTCAACCTTTTCCATGTAAGTCATTTCTTTTAGACATCTAATCAATTTGCTTGCTCTCCACTGGACCCTTGCCAATCTGCTCATATCTGTCTTGAAATGCAGTACTCTGCAATACTCTTCGCTGGACAGAGTACTTCAGATGAGTATGACTAGCCTGGGTCACTCCTGTTAATACATGGCTATACACTATTTGCACTTTTTGATAACATTATTACACTGTTGACTCATATTCACAAGGTGATCCACTATAGCATCCGAGTTTTAGTCTGCAACACTGCAGCCTAGCCAGTCACTTTCCATTTTATGTTTGTGCATTTGATTGTTCCTTTCTCTTTCTGGGTGTTCACATATGTCCTCATCTAATTTTATCTGATTAATCTGGACAATTTTCCAATTTTTGAAGGTCAGTTTGATTCCTAATTCTATCTTCTAATGTATTTGCTACTCCACCCAGTGTGGTTTCATTCACAAATTTATTAAGTGTGTGAACTCAGTTTCATCCTCCAAGTTATTAATGAAGATACCAAACAGTACTGGACTAAAGACAGACCCCTAGGGAATTTCACATGATACCTCCCCCCGAGGTTAGACATCGATCCACTGATGACTGACTACTCTTTAAGCAGGTTATTAGCCAACCAGTTATGAACCCAATTTACAGTAATTTCATCTAGCCTGCATTCCCCTAGATTACTTATGAAGAATGTCATGGGAGACAGTGTCTAAAATCTTATGAAAGTGATTAGATTTTACATCCATTGTTTTCCCAACATCCACAAGGCCCATCACCTTGTCACAGCAGAAAATCAAGATGGTTAGCCATGACTTACTCTTAATAAACCCATACTGGCTGTTTCTTATCACCTTGTTATCCTCTCGGTGCTTACTAATCAATTGTTTGATAATATGCTCCAGTATCTTTCTGGGTATAAGAGTTATGCACCAGCATAATGCTGCTAACTTCCCAGGAGCCAATCCTGATATCTACCAAGGAGTGTGAGAAGATAATCAGCCCTCTCGTTTCATTAGATCTCAGGAGAAAGCCCCAGGTGCTTAAGGCCTTGATTTGGAAATCATCCCTTAAATACATGCTTAATTTTAAGCTCATGCTTATATCACATTACCTAAAAGTCACATGCCGCAGATTTCCACTGCAACTTATGCGCATGGTTAAAATCAAGCATGTGCGTAAGTGCTTTTCTGAACTGGCGCCTTCAGGGGCCGGATGCTGATGTACTTCTAGGGGTATAAATCTGGAGTAGCACTGTTGCCTTGAACAGGATTATCCCTGATTAACACATGGGATCTGCCCGCCAGGCTTTAATTTTCAAATCATAGGTGCCAAAGAGGCACTTGTGACGTGTGCAAGCTGGTGAGAGTATAGAACATGCAGCTTCACAACCTTCGCCTATTTGCACACATGCCCGCCTGTGGTATTCGCCTGGATTTTACAAGCACAATTTAGTCCCCTGTTTGTAGCCATTAGCTGCAAGAATCTGAGCTCTCTGTGGCATTTATAGCACTGTCTGATTCTGGCCATGAACAATAACAACACATTCAGTGAGCCAAATAACCTAAGTGCTCCACTAACCAACCAAGAAATCTACAAGGGAAACAATCAACCGTTCTTAACCTTTTAGACCAACAACTCTTTTAACTCTTCCCACACCTTGGGCTCCTGAATGAATTTAGCCCAGAAATAGGTACCTTTATTCAGCAAAAAAACCTGTGTTAACGATGAACTCTCCAAGGTATCACAATAAGCCACACCATGAAATAAAGTTTGGAATATGCACTTTAAAGAAAACAAGAAGAGACGAGGCTATTTGGTTTATTGTATTTGATGTGTAATTGGAGCTGGGAATATCAGCAAGGTGGGTGCATTAGCTGGCTTGTTCTGTTTGCCTTAGTACCAGGAAGGTGACTGTAGGTTAGCTACAGGAATTGATTTCAGAGAGGAGGTCGAACCCCATAGTGCGGGGGTATCAAACTTATTTGGCCACCTCCAGGATGCAATCTGGACTGCAGGGCTCTTGGCAGGCCAGATCCAGACCCCCCTCAACCAGAATTCAGTGGCTGGACCCTCTGGGTATCCAACCCTTCCAGGACCCCCATAGGCCTGGTGACATGGCTCCATGGGTCAGAGCCAGCCCAAGGTCTGCATATTTGCAACCCCTGGCAGTGGAGGATTTGTGTGTGTTGTCAATGAAGACAGTGTCAGGGCTTCCATTCCCTCCCGCAGCACAAGATCCATGCAAAGCCACCAGGCTTAGTTTTTAATTGCTCTATATCTTGCTTCAGTACCACATGCGTCTGTTAGGCTACCAAATAAGCCAGAAGTGCTTTACACTCACTAGCACAAGGGGTCACAACACCATCCTCCATTCCCATATTGCTAATTGAAAACAGGAGTGTTGGCTAGGTGTGAAAGGTGCTAAGGCAGAGGTGTTTGGTGCTGCGGGCAGGATGAATGACTAGGCTACACATATAATATTGATTAGGATGAATGAATGCTCACAGTTCAGCATGATGGGGGATCAGGGGCCTGGTAGCTCCATCAAAGTCCATAACCAGGCTGCAATGTGTTCTCACAACTCCACACAAGGATAGGTGTCAGCAGCATCCTTCCCACTTGGGAATAACTCTCCATGTGAGCAGGATCTGTTCAGCCCTTTGCTTCTCCCAGCAATGAGCTGAAGGTGGGCATGACTCTTCTCACACTGGCCCACAGAGCAGGGAGATCAATGTGCCCAAGCCTGATGGGTGGCACTGAATGTCCCAGCCCTTCCTGGCATGCACCAGGCAAAGTCATTGCAGCACAGTTTGGCCCAGGTCTCTCACAGGCCAGGTGCACTGTACCCCTGTGCAGGGCTTTGGAGGCATTGCTTGTCTCTTATGCTAGATTTAGACCTAAGGAACAGAAATCAGCTCCCAGCCGTTAAAGGATTAATTTTTGAAACATGATCAAGAGCACACCAAGCTAGGCAAGGAAGGAGGGGCACATGTTGTCTATCTAAGAGCATCTGAAAGATGCATATACTAGGGCTGGGGAGGATTTGATGAGTGTGATGCAAGGCATAAGATCTAAGGGCAAAAGGCAGAACTGGGCAAAGAGAAATTGAAAGTGGTAAGCAGGGGAAATGTCCTGATGGGGACACCTCTGAGGTTATGAAACTGTCTCCCAAGGGATGGCATGCAAGCCTCATGGGTGACACAAACAACAAATGGACTGGTCTAAAACTTAAGGAGCTATGTGGCCATCTCACACCAGCTTAGCTCAGAACTGGGGTGGGTGGGACAGACACTCTGGTCAGCCATTGCTAGCTCTAAATGCCATGGGTCATTCAGCAAACCATGGGCAGGAAGGCAGGGCAGCAGGGAATACTGGTTGAGATTCATACCTGGCTAGAAGACCAAGAAAAGACCTTGCCCCTGAAGCTAAACAACAATGTTTTTGGTTGACTAGTAAATTTGACCCAAAAAGGGATATTTCTAGGGGGCATTATTTGTGGAACATGGTGGAATTCAAGAAACAAAAGGGGCAAATGCCAGTATTTTGAATGTCAATATGAAGAATGGTTTGAAATGCTGGTTTTCATTTAATATTGTCCGAATTTTAAAGAAGAAGAAGAAAAGAAGAAGAAGAAGAAGAAAGCTTTTCAAAAAGAGTTAAATAACCTGAAAACAAAACATAGCTGTGTGGGTCAAAAAAAACTCCTTGGTTTCAGCTGAAATGAATTTTTCTTTTTTTCTTTTTTTGTTATTCATTTGAAAACATTACTGTTCTGTTTCACCCTAAACTGATTTTCCTCCTGATTTTCAGTTTTGCCAACGTACTAAAAACACCATCCTTTATCCAGTTGTACTAGGTACCACCTAAGTCCTAGGCCTCACCACAAAGCTGAATGTTATCCAGTAGATGCACCCATTTTCCTCAGATTCTGCTCACATCTCTTCCAGTTGTTACTGATACTCAGCCCCATGCAAGCCTGCCAGATCCCACAGGAGCAAGATGGAGGAAGGTAAGTGACAGCTAAAAAATATATCAACCCCATTCAAAATCCCAGGACAGAGTAAGTGATAGTTTTCATTAGGAATTTGGGTCTTCTCCACTCTGGTAAGTCTATGACATCACAAATTGCAGTGGAGTAAAATAAGAGTGACAGGTGACCAAATGCTGGAAGTGGTTTGGTGTTATTAACTGCTATTTAACTCTGAGTCCAACAAATATGGGGGCGGGAGCGTTTAACTGTATCCGTCCCTTCAGTTCAAGCCTGGACAACCCAAGATCTGTTCAGCAAAAACACAGGACAAAAGCGATTATAGCCTGAATTATCCCAAAGTGTCTCCTGATTTAGCTGCCACAGCATTAGGAGCCAGACACTAGTGATCTAGAGCTTGATTCTCGCAGGAGATGAACACCTCCAAGGCCGTCCATAGTCAGGGGGAGTTTGCAGCACTCAGTGCCTCTGAGCCTGGGCATGATATATTGGACTGCCAATTCAGGCACTCAAACATGGGCAGGGGAGAACAGTTCATGTTTCTGATACTCCTCCAGCAACAGCAGCCCACCCGGCCTCAGTGAATGGATTCCAATGGGCCAAGTCTTTGGGTGGGTGAGTTAGCCTCACTTCAGTGATTGCACTGGGGCAGAGGCCGAACTGGTGTAAATCAGTATAGGACCATTGAATTCAGAACCAACAAAAATCAGCACAACTCCATTGATTTCAACAGTTCTCTGTTGATAGCAACTTGCCTGAGGTTATTTTACCTGTATAAAGCAGTGAAGACAGGGAACAAATCCCTTAACAGGTCCCCTTTATAGCAAGGAATGGGAAAGTGGCTTCTTTGACAGGGATGGAAGCTTCCCCAGCACCCAACTGTGAGCAAACAGCAATCAGCGGGAGACTCAGAGCATAGGAGGAAGTTAGAATAGCGATGCCTGCTGTCTCTCTCAGCACTGGCATCACCAGGCTTCCATTCCATGCTGCCCAGATGCCTGCTTCCCCCTGCTGTTCCCGGCTCCTGGAGAAGAACATGAATCGATATAGCTTCCTCTCCCGTAATTAATGCCAATGTGCTGCTGCTGTCACTTCTAGCTGGGCACAGATGCTGTGGGCTGCAAGCATCTGGCTGGCCTCACTCTGATGTGCCACTTTGGTAATTCTGTCCCTTTAAAAGCAATATTCCCTGCTCTGATACTTGAGGTAGGTCTTCGTGACATGCTCCACTTCTATGGCATCCCCTGCAATGAGAACAAATAGGCTAGAGCTGAGCAGAGGTGGATCCAGGGGGGACGGATTTTGGCCTTGGTTTGCAGAGAAGATTGGGGACTTTTAACCCCAATCTACGGCTGATGTCAGTGGGGCTCAGGCACTGCACAGCTAAAGCTCAGGAAGCACATCCCAGCCAGGCACTCTAATGTCAGGTCTAAAATTTGGTCTACACAGCCAGGAGTACATCCATACTCAAAAGTCTCTTGTATCAGCAGAACCCCTTCTCTCTGCCTGCAAGGTAAAACCACCTCTCCGAGAGAAAGAAGACCTTGGCTGCCATCTAGCAGGAAGAATATGAGATCAGAACCTGCCCTTCCTACCAGCAGTTGTGGTCCCTTCAGCAGCTGGTGTCCTCCTGGGGTGCACATCACACCTTGCTGACACAGCTGAGGAAGCAAAGATGTGGGGAACCAACAGACACGGTGTGGAGCTGCCAGGAGCCATGCAGGTGGGTTCACACTCTGGCAGCTTCCCTGTGGCCAGCTGCCGTCTGCTGGCAGAAGCTCCTCAGAGGAGACAAGGCCCAAAGGTGGTACACGTCCATCACTGTCTAGTGAAAGAGAGTGCATACGTTACGGAGCTGC